GATCAGGCCAGCAGGGAGGGGGCAGTTGGGGGCAACCTGACTGGCAGCGGGGGGCAGTTAGGGGTGATCAGGCCAGCAGGCTGGTAAGCAATTAGGAGCCAGCAGTCCAGGATTGTGAGAGGGATGTCCAACTGCCGGTTTATGCCCGATCCCTGGGAACCCTATGGTAGACATGGGACATAGTCCTGGAGAATCGGGAAAACAAAACTGACAAGTAGTGAAACCGGCAAGTAACAACCCGTTTTTAATGCTTAAGGGTAGACATCTGGTGTATTAGAAGCCATAACATGCACAACTTTTTATATCTATAAATCAAGAAGACTTAAAAGCAAAAAGGTAATTCTCAAGAATGCAAACTGTCCTTAGCATTATCCCTACACCTGGTAAACTAACTGGGATGATGGGTACAGAGCTAGGAATGCTCAGGATGAAATAAAAGGGAGTTAATAAAGTACCATGATAGCACATTGATACTTCTGACATACTGGCTGGCTCATTCGCACTGGGAAAAGAGCCATTACCCCTAGGCGTTAAGACCTGTAAAGCAGCTGCAGCCTCTTGCCCCCTGCCCCTCCCCGCTCTCACTCCTCAAAGTTGCCTTTTCTCAGTGTGGAATAGGACCCCGCTTCAGTTCCAGGGTTCCCCAAGACAAATGGAGGGGACGAGTCTCTAGTCGCCAGAAGGAGACCACCACAGGCCCTAGCAGGAAAACCGGCAGGATAGGGTTAGGAGCTGAACCCTGCGGGGTGACCTCTAGAAGGCATCCCTGCTTAGTGACTCGGACTTGGCCCAGAGTCGGACGAGCAGAAAGTGTTGGAAGTGCAAGAAAGTGCTGCACCGGAGGGCGCGCTCCGAGACCAACCTGCCTGCCGGAGGGATCTGCTTAGGGGTCCTGCGTCCTCGAGTACCCAGGAACCGTGGTCAGTACGAAAAATCATAACGTTCCTACTTCCCTAAGTTATAAAGTCATGAAAAGACGAAAGGTGACTCCCGGTCTCCGAATAAGGAAGAACTCTGGGGGCGCGTTGCGGAGCGGTGCCGTTTCAGGACCTGCAGGTGGGCACCCGTGACGTGCACCTGTCCGGGCAGGTGTAGCTCATGCGCGAGGCGCCGCCCAGGGGTTGAGGGGCTTACTACGCTCGCAGTGCCCACTAACTGACTTAACGGAAAGGGAAGGAAGGTTTCCCGGGGCTCCCCTACTTATACCACGACTGGAGGTGACCCCACGCTTCCAAGTTGAAGACACTTCCTCCCGCCGTTCTTCCAGACCTTTCCCTAACAGGAGCCGCCAGCGACGCGCCAGAGAGGGACCAATGAACAGACCCGGGAAGGGGCGGCAGGAAGGGAGGGGACCATCACCTGAACCCGCTGCTCCCTGGGATGGCGCGGAGGCCGCCAAGAGGCAGGCGCAGCGCCTGGACTCCCAGCCAGTGCTGCTGCAGGAGCCGGGCGCGTCCGGTCGCCATGGCGACCCGGTGGTAAAGCGTGGGCGGCGCGAAGTCGCGAAGGTACAGCGCCGCTCGCGCTCAGCCACGCCCACCCGACTCTGGCGCGCTCCCGAGGCGCGCGCGCAGAAGCGTCTTTCCACCCGCTCCCAGAGGATTCTAGAAACTTCTGAGAGCGCGGAGTTTTTAGCACCCGTGTTGCAATTGTGGCGGCCTCGTTCCTCCCCACTTGTTTGCTCTAGGGTAGTTCGCGCTACTTCTGTCTCATTTGGGGCGGGGGAGGGAGGCGGGGGGAGAAACTGAAATTCAGAGGCTACATAATTTGCCCATAAGGGAGGGCAAAGCCACCGTCAGACCCGAAAACTTTTTAGTTTACGCAGTTCTCTATAGAGAGTCGAGGAACACACAGTTTGCAAACGCTAATTTGACTTTCGTGGGTTCTAGAACTACTTTGCTCTAACTGCCAAAACCAATTGAGTGCAGCGCAGGCGTAGGCCATCCGCGCAAGGTCGCCTGGGAGACGGCGAGAGGACCGCTGCTTCTGGCCACCTTGAACTGTGGGAGATGTAGTCCTTGTGTCTTCCCCGCTGCAGCAACTCAGTGAGGAGTGAAGTTCTCAAACTACTATCCCCAGGATTCCTAGTGGTTCCCCAGGATACTTTGCAAAGGCATGGCGGGCAGAGTGTGAATGTCAACCTGGAAGGTAAGGCAAGCACATTTATCCAAGTAAAAAGAGGACCAAAGAGAAGGGAAGGTGGACAGCAACTTCTTCCGGGAGACCTTTCGTCTGAACGCTGCTGGAGCTAACGTTTTTGTCGAGCACGCAGTGCAGCCTTACCGGCGTGAATGTGTGCACTTGAGCACGCATCGGGCTGGGCGTGGAGGGGCCAGTGAAGCTTTGCTAGTGGAAGTTGTCATCTTCCCTAAACGGAGCGGGTTTCTGTGAACATGATTTGTTTTTTTCTACGAGCTGTACAGTATACGGAGAAGCTGCACAGGTCCTCGGGGAAGCGCTTGTATTTGCCACACTTGGTACTTAACAAAGCTTGCTTGAAGACTGAGCCCGGTTTGAGATGGGGGCTGCACGAGCAGAAAACGGTGCGACCTGGTTGTATCCTTGGAGTCACCCCGAGGACCATCTGGACGCAGGGACAGGGCTCCCAGAGAGCAAAGGAGGACAGCAGCAAGCAAGTATCTGTGCACAGTCAGAGAGGGGAAACCGCCATCTCAACAGCACAGAAAGGTAAAGGGAAATCTCCAGTGAGGACTAGACTTGCAACAAACATGACAACAGTTGCCCATACCCTTTTGTAGAAGTTCAATGCAAAAGCTGGAAAGACAACTCACACAAATTAAAAGGTAGAACCGCTAAGCATAGTTTAGCATCAGAGAGTATACGCCTATAATGATCTCCATAGATTTGAACTCAAATTTGAAAGTTGATTTTGATATAACTTTGTTGAATTATGTCTAGAAAAATTTTCTCAACTTTTATTAGTTTAGTGTGGAGAGTGCAATTTAAAACTTAACCATTGTTTAGTACTTTAAAGTAGACAAGTAGATTGTCCAGATGTTATTTCATCCATTTGACTCTGACATTCAGTCTTTCCAACATTAGTATTGTAATGTAGGAGGCACACTTCCCCAGTTTCACACAACTGAATATTAACCGCAGATTTCCCTAATCTCGGTTTTCTAATAGCCAGGCCAGTGCTCTTTAGGACAACCATTCACAAGGATTTCATGAGCTTCCATTTTGTCTATGCTCAGTCCGGAGCATGGTTATTCAATTAAAACTTGTTCAGTGATGGAAATGTTCTGTATGTGGGCTGTCCCCGTATGGTGGCCACTAGCCACCTGTGGCTGTTGAGCACTTGAGATGTTGCTAGTGTGAGGAACTCAATTTTTATTTAATTTTAAGTTAAAGTTAGGTTAATTTTTAAATTAAATAGCCCTGTGTGGCATGTTGCTGCTGTATTACACATCCCAGGCCCAGAATGTCCAGGTTACATAAACTATATTATCACATGGTGGGAAACTTAACAAATCCCGGGCAAGACTATACATATCCACCGTTACTGTTTGTTGCTCCTTGTCAATAGAGGTGGAAAATAATGCATTCTCCACACCACTGGCCTACACCATGAGGTAGTACTGATGTACTCCCGTAAGTTGTCATCTGTGGATAACTGGACCATGGTCATCCTCTAGTATCTGTGGATTCTGCAAGAGGAAGACTGGTGAATGACATGGGAATATGATGGGGACCAGCACCCTTGTACATTTCAGTCTCTAAGAATAGCACTATCTCTACCATCCCCCTCTCAGATGTGATTTGGTTTACATGTTTTTTGATTGGTTCTGATTCACAGGGACATTTGAGAACAGCTGCTGCAGAGCACAGACCCATTCGTTAGATCCTGAGTCCACACCTCACCTAGAAATACTGAAGGTTCCTGCTTGTGTCTGGCACACATGTGACTCAGTGCTTTTTTCTCTTGACAGTTAAAGAAGCTGGAAGAGATTTTACCTATTTAATAGTGGTGATTATTGGAATCAGCATTACAGGTTGAAAACACAGCAAGTATAAAACCCCAAATATCTGTTTCACTTACTAATTGTATCGCCCTGGCTTTGCTTGATCTTATTTTTCTGTGACTTTCAGGTGGCCTGTTTTATGTGATTTTCAAAGAACTTTTTTCTTCATCCAGTCCTAATAAGATATATGGGAAAGCCTTAGAAAAGTGCAGAGCACATCCCGAGGTGAGTCCTCAAGGTAGAGTTACACAAACTCTGATAATAGGGAGAGAGAGTGGGCAGAACTCGCATTCTGGTTCTAAGACTAGTGAAATTTACATAATAATAATGTCTGAGTTGTTTATGCTTTTAGCTCTTTACTAGTATTCTATACATGCACCCAAACATCCATGGACAGTGTTTTCATCCTAATTATATAAGACAAAGTCATTTCACTAGTTATCAAATGCTTAGAATATACCAGAGTCTAAAACAGCTACACAGTTCTTAAGTGTCTCTCACATCATTCTTTTTTATAAGACTGTTATTATGTGATGTCTCCAGTCTTTTTTTTAAAACTTGATTCATGACTCCATGATCACAATAGTAATTCTTATTGAGAGCATATTATGAGCCAAGGACCATGCTTAGCATTTCAGTGCATTGTCCTTATTAAACCTCACATAAACCATTGTGTCGAGTTCTGCTATTATCCCATTTGCAGAAGGGGAAACTGACAGAGAGATGAAAATAAATAGGAGTAGCATAATTAAATGTTAGGATGCATCTCTAAAGAGATGTCATTCACAAACTTAGCCTTTCCTAGATCTTCAGCCTTTCGAACAAAACAAAATACAGAGAATAAACAGAGTAGGATAGTATAAAAGTCATAATTTAATTTGCTGCCTACAAGAGCTCTACAAATAATTAAATTTCAACATTCGATGTTGTCAGCATTTATAAAGGTCCTGTTCTTTGCCAGGCACTGTGCCTTGTTGAAAACTAGAAAACTTTCATGTTTGGTACTGATGGGTCTACTAGTATTAAGTTGTTTGAACAGTTGTGCCATTCATCTCAGCTCCACAGTTCTTAAATTTATTTCTCATCTTACACTTTATTTCTTTTTACTTTTGCATGAAAAATGTGATGCTGAAGATGCCCAACACAAAATAAGACAAATTTTATAGACTTGAGGCAACATTTGTTTTAGTTTGATACCATTTTTTTAAGGTTCCAAAGTGCATTTAAATTCAATAAAAATTATACTTCCATTTCATTGCCATTAGGAATAATTGATTCACACCTATAGATCTGGTTTGTTTTAAATAGGTCGTTATTAAATGTTTAATGTTTATTAAATATTTAAATACATGAGGTTTTTTTCCCACTGGGCTTAATGACTTAAAAAACATTTTGTCTCATAGCTTTTAGTATTAGACCCCATTAGATGAATTTCACTACAAATGTTCAGGCATTTAAATATATGAGCACTGGTTGTGCTTCTTTTTGTGAAGAGTGGGAATAGCTTCACTTCACCAATGCAGTTCTAAAACTGCAAGCAGCACCATAAAGTTACCTGGATCAGTCTCTGCACAGGAAATATTTAAGTTAGTTATGGGGTGATTTTTGCATAACTTTTCTTTTTTCATTATTGGAGTTGTCATTTTGAAAAGGTCCTAGGCTTACTGATTTTTTTTTCCTAAAATAAATCACTTGGTTTTTCAGAAAATATTTCCCTAAGAAACCACTAAATAAAACGCTGTCTTTATTCTGCAGGTATTAAGTGTCTTTGGTGAGCCTGTTAAAGGATATGGGGAGATGACAAGACGTGGTCGAAGGCAGCACGTCAGGTACTGCACCTGGCTTGCATTTGGAAGGCTCGGGGATTGTTTTTAAATGAAAGGGATTTAGGTCTTTGTTCTTTCCTTTTCTTGACAGTTTTATTGAATATGTAAAGGATGGGCTGAAACACGTGCGTGTGAAGTTCTACATCCAGGGTTCCGAGCCTGGGAAGCAGGGGACAGTGCATGCGGAGGTGAAGGAGGTGAGGAGGGGGTGGGGAGACATGGTCTAAGTGCGCTGTTGTAGAATGCACTGGAAGAAAAAATCCCACCTCGAAATCTTTTTTTTTTTTTTTTCAGAATCCAGAAAGTGGTGAATATGAATTCCGATATATATTTGTAGACCTTGAAACTTATCCTAGAAGAACTATTGTTATTGAAGATAACCGATCCTGAGATTGAAAGGCTCAGCACCCAGGCCATTTCCTCATGGGTGTTGCATGGTGCTGACTTTCAGCTCTGATCTGCATGGCTCTCCCAAAGTCAGTTTTGAATAGGTTGGCAAAGAGTACAGTTCATCAAAGTGAATGGAACTGGGTAGTTGTTGCATTTAGACTAACTGAATCAGATTTTCCTGTAGAGTAAAAAATCTTGAAATAGTGCATATTTTAGGTGATCCTGGGCATCGTGTAAATAAGAAAATAGAGTTCATTATTTTGTGCTTTTTTATGTTATATAGCTATATAAAATCTGTGGAATAAAATTAACATGTCATA